AATAAATGTAGCAACCGGGCCACCTGAAAATCCATTTGGCCACCTGAATCTCATACTCAAGTGGCCCGGCCGGCCACATGAAAAAAAAGTTAAGGGCAAGCCCTGTACTAGTACTAGAATATTTCCAAATGACAATGATTACCAAATATACTAAGAGTATGACTATGACTATGACTATGAGTATGAGTATGAGACTGAGAGTATGTGTTATCGTATAATACACATTATCATTAGAATGATTCATATAGTGATACATATGATCTGCATAATGATGCAGTTACAATGCAAACAACGACATCATTTGCTCAATCCTATAATCCCATCTCTATGGAATCATAGATATAGAAGAAGTATATCTTCTTCTATATCTATGATGGAATCTTGCACAAAAGTTGAGCCTGCTGAATCGTTTGTAGGTGGCGTTACTGATCGTCGCACTCGACACTTCCGGTACCGGAGTACTGTTGTACTGTTATGTTGTTGTGTGAATGTTGCACAGGGGAGGGATTACACCGAGCAATGGCGGCCGGTTGACAAGTTGAAATTTTTTTTCTAATAGGGTTAGGCTTATTTTTTAGAGTTAGGGTTAGTGTTATAGGTTCACTTAAAACAAGAGTTTGAGAGTTTGAGTCCGTACGGACGTGACGTCATTGAGCGACGATTCTGGCCGCCATTGCTGGGTGAATCCCTCCCTGTGTCGTACTCATGTTGTGTTATGTTGTGTTTGAAATGTACCTATGTGTTAGTATGTAGCCGTCTAGGCCTACTCAGGCTACTGTAGGCCTAGCTCCAAGAAACGGTATTGCTAGGGTTAGAATACCGTTTCAAATTCTTGCCCATAAAAACGTGGGCCCAAGGATAGAGAACATGGGTCCCAATAAAACCAATGTGCCTAAACCTAACCCTAATTCTAACCCTAACTCTAACCCTAACCCTAACCATAACCCTAACCTATTATATTGATGTAATATTATATTTATATTGATGTAAATGACATTGGTTTTATTGGGACCCATGTTCTCTATCCTTGAACCAAAATGGCCAGGTGTAGTTGGCTCGGTATCCAAACATCGACACAGCTAGCGTCACATGAAACGAATCGCTCAACGTCGCTCAAACGAACCTATAAACCTCTTGCTTGCGCGCGGTAACTGGGCGCTACTGATTTATTGAGTTATGCCGTATTTTCTGAGATGAATTGGATCAAAACCATAGATCAAAACAACCAGACAGCCGCCATGTCCGCCATGTTCAGTGCGACTAAAATCGGCAATGGACCTGATTTTCACAGTGCGTAGGCCTAAACACAAGGCAAGTACATATCTTCGCAATGATAATTATTAAGTTAATTGTTGTAGATTGATGTTTCCTGGTTTTCACTGTTTTAATATTTATATATCTACTAGTCCATGCCCGTTAGGTGGTCAGAACTTCTGTTACACATACACACACACACACACACACACACACACACACACACACACACCACACACACACACACACACACAACACACACCACACAGCACAACACACACACACACACACACAACACACACACACACACACACACACACAACACAACCACACACCACCACCCACAGCAAACACTACCACACACAGCAACACACACACACACACACACACACACACACACACACACACACACCACACAACAATACATACACACACAACACACAACGACACACAAATGCGCGCTGCGCACACACACCACACAGGCCCGTAGCCAGCTTTCTATCTGTGGGGGGGGTTCGTTTTTCAATGTTGGCAAATTTGCTCGCGCTAGGGGCGTGTACAACGGATTTGTACCAGGGGGTCTAACCGTAAACCCTGTTCGACAGACGGAGCGAAGGGGGGTGTCTGGAGGACCAGGTCCAGTAATTTTTTTAAATTACACCCTTCTCAGATGCGTTTTCTGCGCGAGCACAGGGGGCGTCCGGACTCCCTGGACCCCCCTGTAACGCCCCTGCTCGTCCGCGAAGCGACCAGGCTGAGGCGAGCCAAGCGAAGCGGCGGGGGGAGGGGTGGGAGGGGGGTGTTCACTGTTCACCCTCCCGCACGATAGGCAGATTTTGGCAATTATTACACATAAAATGGAGCGACCTGCAGGTGAAATTCTTGCAAATTTTCAAAAAAAAATTTTTCAGCTGGGCGGAGAAGGCTCGGTGCGGGGTTCGTTTGAACCCCCGCAACCCCCCCTGCGCTCCGGGCCCTGCACACACACACACACACACACACCACACACACACACACACACACACACACACGCGCGCGCGATAAACACACACACACACCATCCACACACGCGCGCGCGCCGCCCATTAAACACAGCACACACACACACAACACACGAGCACACACACACGACACCACACACGACACCACACACACACCGACACACACCACACACCACGCACACACACGCACCACCTACGCACACATAAAACACAAACACCATCCACCACACGCGCCGCGCGCGCGCATTAAACACACACACACGCATACAGCGAGACAAGTCACATACACTCCGCACACACAAGAAACACACAGAACACGACAAGACACTACCGCACAACAGACCACGACACCAGCACACACACACCACACCACACACACACACACACAGCGACGCACGCCACGCACCGTACGCACACGCCGACACACACGCGCCGCGCCTATAAACACACACAACACACACACCAGCACGCACACACACACAGCACACCACACACACACACACACACCCACAAAGCACACACGCGCGCATTAATCATATCACACGCGCGCGCGCGCATAAACACACATTACACCCGCGCGCGCGACGCCTCAAAAACACACACACATACAACGCTACACCAAACACATCACACTACACGTGCACATAGCACACACACACACAATAGACACACACACATAACTACACGCACACACACACACCACACAGTCACACCACACACACACACACACACACACACACACACACACACACACCACACACACACAAACACACCACACACCACACACACACAAACACACACAAACCACCACACCCCCACACACCACACACACACAAACAACAACACACACACACACTATAATATATATTGTAAAAGAAACAAGTATAGCTTCGTAAGAGTATTATTATGAGGTCAGTCTGCAACGTATTGTGCGCTTTTACGGTTACGGCCGGGTTGATAAATACTTACTGCACATCAGAGAGTTTCTTGACAGCGGGCGACTTTTTTTGCGGGCGTATCTTGATCAATCTTAAAGGCTATAATTCGAGCCATCGATTGATGCCAATTGTATAACGGAATGCTACAGTAACTGGCCCACCTTGTGTAGTTAATAAGCTACATTACCTTATAGGCCAAACGCGTATTAGTTTGCCAATATCACCTGCTGGTTACTAAGAAAGGTCTAATTGAAAATCCGCCAGTCCACGCAAATCGGTTGTTGACAAGTTAGCAAACCGTCATTGCCGGCTGTAACCGGTCGTAACTGGCGAGGCGTGTCGTACAGATTATGTGCACCCGGACCATTGTTTCGCAACGTCATGCTCGGCCGTCGACTCGATTTCGGATCCTTGCTAGTTCTGAGTGCGCATTCCGTACGTTATGGTTTTACTGCTTTGGATTCGGGCATAAATGAATATCACGTCTCATGAGGTTACAAGCAACAATATAATATGTCGGCAACTAGGCAAATAAAACCACTAGGCAAACAATTTACCGGGACAAACAATTCGGATGCCTCAACATCTTGTACAGCAACATGTGACGTCACCGACCGAGAAGCTCGATGTTTAATTTTGGTTGGCCGATAAATTCGCGTTTGTCGCAGATTACCAAATTTTACGGATTCTCGAATATAGACCATTTCTTAGTAATAGCAGTGATATTGGACAAACTAATTACGCGTTTGGCTATAAGGGTAATCGTACTTATTAATACAGCCAATGCAGTTACTGTAGCATTCGTCACTTTGCATAATCGATGTCGAATTATGCCTTTAATATTCTCGACGTGTTCCAATGATGCCTTTCGTTTTTTGGCATTAGGCTGGCGCACTATGTTCATAACAATTTGTATGTGCCGTGTGGAAAGGTTTGATGTGATGTTATAACGAAATGCCCAGCTAACAGGTATATGTTCCTGACTGACATGTTATAGGAATGTTTCTTTTTAGGTTAGCATGAACATTATGCGTAACGTTCGTAGATAACGTTTTTATAGGAAAGGTTTTCCCTGACTTCTAGCGAACACGGTTTATTGGTCTATATTATAATGTAGCTCCTGACTGTTGCATTGAAGAATAGTGCTGTCTCCGCGTCTCTATCATATCGATGCCACTTCTTTCTTCTGTGTCCGACAGTTATGTTCTGCCACCGTGGCACCAAAAACTGCTTTAGCCCTACGTAGGCGTACATAATATCTCTCTCACCATCGCGCTATGGTGACTGTACGATTGGGAGATGTGCGTATGTGACTCACGACTGTAGACCGAGTGTACGTACGATGACTAAACTGAGATGTTACCATGCACTGTGACGACTGTGAGCTGATATACGATATGTGGAATGATGTATAACAAGGAATGCACGTTTATTCGGTTCTTATATTATAATTAGCTCCGCTGACTTTGCCATTAAAAATGACCACTTCTTCCAGGTGGTGTCCTGCTCATCTTATAATATCGATTGCACATTCTTTCTTCTGTGTGCCGACATTAGGTTCTGCACCGCGCACCCGAAAAACTGTTAGGCCAAACGTACGCAGCTACATAATATCTTTAACTGAATTATAATATAAAGTCATAACTAGGGTCCCTGATATACAGAGAGTGTGCGCACCGTGTACGGCTGGACGACATGTTGTTTCCCAAATGGTACGCGCACTGCTATGGCCGTAAGAAAAGTGTACAATTAATTATCATATGTCCCGCGTAACGATTTTGAGGTTACGATTTTCATTTAGAGAATCTAGCATACACATCAGACCACATGTCTTAAGCCTAATTAACTCTGTAAATTTCTTGAGTTTATGTAAGCACGATTATTCTAATTACATTATTTACGCGACGCATTGTACACGATATCCACTGACAGCGCTGTACTTAAGCGTGCACGGCGTGAGGACTTTGAACAAAATGCCCGTCAAATCCTGACGTTGGCGCAACTCTCTGCTATACAGGTCTACCCTAGTCATTAACAAAAACTACCCAGGTTTGTCCAAAAAGCCAAAGTTGCTATGCGGGCTGAGTGGGAATCTGACACCAATAATATCAGCTTCTCTTGGAGATATAGAGAATTGTCTTGATCTTGACGCAGGACTAAGTGAGATTTTACGGAATTATCTAATTGAACACAATGTTGCCTTTGAGGGCGCATGAACATGCCAAATGAACTCTTCAGAAAATGATTTCCAGACTCACAATAGCCAAAAGTATGGTTGCAAACGCGTAAAAAAACACAGTGAGAATTGAATGAGAAATTGCCAATTCCTTACCTGTTTTAATACCAGTATTATTACTATAGTAACCTAACTGTGTACGCCTCCTCTGAAAGTCTCGAAAAAGTGTTTTGATCCTACTAGGGTTGAGCGTACGGTTGACGATAGTGTCATCAGACATGAGAATATGGCCCACAGTTATGCCTCAGAATGTGCAGGAAAATGGCCTTAAACATATTTCAAATTTTCTGGGGCCGGCATGCCCCAGACCCCCCTGCACTGGCATGCCTCGGCACCGGCGCTAAGCAGCCTGCCGGCGCGCAACGGTTAATTTCGCCCCCCCCCCCTGTCCAGTCAATTTCATTCCGCATTTGGGAGTTCACAGGTTGAGAACCCTGCATATATATATCATAGCATATATATACTAGCATTATAGCATATACCCCAGACAGGCAAAACAGCATCAGGCCAAATATTGGCCAACTATCGGTTTAACTCTCTGCCGGCACCATTCGGCGCGCTTGGTCTGCCAATATTGGCCCGATTGCGTTGCCAATATTGGCTCGATGAGGTTGCCAAAAATTTGGCCGATTGCGTGAGATTGCCAATACTATATTGGCCCACATTGCCAATATCGCGCCACCGGCTTGCACCTTGGCTTTAACTCTTTTTTTTATGTCAGTGTGGGCTCGGGCATATTTGAATGAAAATGATTGTACAATTATTCTGGTTTCAATAAAAATTTATTAAAA